ATATATAAATACGGTCTTTTCTATTCATATTTAGTGGCTAATGTTGTTCCTATCTTCTTTGATTATTTCACTATTGAAATAACAATTGATCTCGCATTCAATACAACAAAAACTTACAAGACGTAAAGCGATAAAAGGGTGTAGGTGTGGGATAGGTGTGAGTGTTGGTGTGGGGTATGGGGTGTGGGTTCTTTGATCGTCAATACCCACACCGACACCCACACTCACATCCACACACCCGCATCCATACCCACACCCATGCCACACACCCACACCCAAAGCAATTCGAATAATAAGACGAATGAAATTTTTTTTGCATATATAAATATATGCTTTATTTTAGATTATTCAAATATAGATATTTTTCTCATGTCAGACAACGTAAATCCATATAAACATGTTATAGTTCCGATGAATGAAACTAATATTAGTAATGGAACAATTGAATCTCATGATTTTGGACCATGTCTATGTATATTGGTTGTTTTTTTATTTAATGGTCGACCGAGGTGTTTACTTATTCATTATTCTTTTGACTTCGACGAAGTTGGTTTATCTTTATCTGGTCTACTTGAAGGACTTTTAAACAGAATCTGTGAAAAAATCAAGGAACATCTAAACATACGAACAATATTACCTGATGATGAATATCAAACTACAACTTGTGGCAGGAGATGATGTTGAAAAAGCTGTTCGAATAAAAAAAGCGTTTTCATTATTAAATAAATGTCGAAGCGATGAAATAATTCGAAAATTTTTAACTCTTGATGTTTGGTATTTATAAGATAATTTGTTATTTTGAACGATTATTCTTGAATCAATAACGAAAAATCTTAATGATGAAGAAGAAAGCAATGATGCAGGTTCCCATGTCCTGAAAATCGCTGAAAAATTGGCGATTAATCGTGATATATCGAAACGATAATCGTGAGCTGCAACGCAATTAATCGCCGATTTTTAATGATATTTTTAGTGATTATTACGATAAATCGCGAGTTGTTTCCCGATTTTTTACATATTAACTATAGCTTTATCGCCAATCTGATCTGGTATTATCGCGATTTCAGAAAAATTTTATTTATTTTTTTAACTCCATCTATTTTTTAAGTTTATTTTTATTTAAAAAACATTTATCATTTTGATTACGCTTAAATTAAAAGTAAAAAAGAAAACGAAAAAAATTAGATGGTTACCTTTTCATTTTTCACATAATTCTTCCATGAAGTCCCACAAAAAAATAGAAAAAAAAAGGAAATGTTAGAATAAATGTTCATCGACACTCTTTAATACAATTTACTTGTATTTTCTTTTTCACCTGAAATTTGAAGAAGACCAATTTTTTTCCACTATTAGAGTTAAAAATAGAAAGAAAAGGGTTAAAAAGAAATTTAATACATTTCTACTTACAATTTTGCCAGGATTAAACATTCATGTTGATACTTCAGATCCTGTCTTGTCGCACAATACGATTTGAATCTAAAAGAGAATTAAATATTTGACTAAGATCAGTTTTCTTTACTTTATGATTTCGCATAGCTTTGGTACTTTTTTTTTAATGTTTAAAATGAAAATGAATGTCTTTTTATGTGGATCGAATGAAATATGATTATTATGAGCTCTAGTACCTGAATGCATAAAAAATCATTAAACCTTGACTAAAAACTGAATTCTGCGCAATAGAAGGAATTTATATATATATACTTGAATTAGCATTAATATTTGATGCTAGTGAAATTAAACTTCAAATGTTATTTTCTAAAGAATACAAAGAATGAGCGAATAATTACTCTTTGTCTGGATTATATAACCAAATGAAAGATACGCTATTGACATGAAATGTACTAATTAATTTTTTTCCATTGTTCATTATGTGCACGTCTAAAGCCACAATCTAGTGCACTGAATTTGTATTTTTGGTAGATTTATCTCAAAATTTTATTTACTCAATACATTTACATCCGATTATTTTATAAACATCTGATTAATCGCGATTAATCGGTTTTCTTTTCAATATCACGATAAAATCTGATTTTATCGTTGATTTTTCAGCCTATTTCGATTAATCGCGATGTTACGTTCATTTTTCGAGAAATCGCCAAAATCGCGACGATTTTCACGACATGGGTTAGTTTTAAATCATAAATAATTTTAAAATTAACATCAATATTTGATTCAATTCCAGATGTTGAAGAAAAAGAAAAAAATGGTATTGGTGATAAACAAAGTGAAAATGATAATGAAGACAATGGAAACTGATGATATAAATGAAGGTTCAAATGAAAGTCTTGATAAAACAGTTGATATTGATGATTATAATAAAGAGTGTGGGTGTGGCGATTAATACCCACACCACACCCACCCACACTGACACCCACATTCGGAGAGTGGTTGATATGAAAGATGTATTAGAAGCCTAGGTCTTGTATTACATCCAAGAGTTATCAGAGTTTGCTCAGAGTCGGTCGTCCTCTCAGCGCTGATAGTTTACACTGGCAAGCGCTCTGCACACGAGAAAATGCACTAGACAACGCCTCGCAAAGTGCTTGCCGATGATTCCAACGATAAAGAAAATGTGGGTGTGTGGCTAGCGGTGCGACTGTGGGTGTAGATTAAAAGAAGAGAAACGTCCACACCGACCCACCAACACCGAAACTCACAATCATACTCACACCCACAACATTAAACTTCTTTTGGAAGAAGTAGTCTAATTATGTGTATTTATACATGAATTTTTTTCACTTCATTCTTGTTTTTCTAATTTATCACATAAAATAGAATGTTTTTTGGTATATTTATGACATAGAATAATGTTTTTTTTGTATATTTATTGTAAATTTCAGTATTGTAAGATTATTTGAACTTATCACAAATAAGTAGCCAAGATGATTGAAACAATGATTCCGTTATATACTATTCGAAATTTCTGTACGAAAGTCATGTTAGTAGCCCACCCCATAATAGAAGCATCCTCCAAAAACTTTGAACGGTGGACCGTTTAGAAGCCCATGGGAGCTTCTATTATGGAAGGGGATTTAGCTAATTTTATCAGATAACTATGGACACAACATGAATACTATAAGAGAAAAAGATGATGATAAAACTATGCTATATTTGAGAGAAATTATCAGATAAATTTTTCTTGTCGACTTTCATATTTCTTATTAATTAGAAATAGTAACTTTTGTCCGAGAAAATCATACACTTCTAAGTCATTTATATAAACATAAAAAAAAGAAAAGAAAAAAGGCAACCTAAAATGAAAAATTGTAATGGAAAAAGGAAAAGTTGAAGTCAACAATCTATGTATGTAATATTTGTAAAGAAAGGAGTAACAAAAAATCTATAAATGGTGCCATAGAACGCCTAGTGTAATATGAACATATTTTGAGACTCAAAATCCATCCGGTGTAGGATTTCAAAATGATATTTGTATCAAATATGAGTACGAAGCCAGTGCTTCGTTATTTATCGTTGTTATTTAAGAAAAAAAGGTTATCAATATTTCTGCACGATATTAATCGCAGTTTAGGTTTGTTGGTTTCAACTTCACAAGATATTCCCTCACAAAATGGTCAAATTAAGATCAGGCGGTCGCTCGAGCGATAAATAAGACGAGGACGGTCGCTCTGCACACGCATCCGCGCGAACAGTGCACATCTCTGACAGAAACGTTTCACGGATCAATGATAGTTCAATTTTCTTGTTATAAATTTCAAAATTTCTCAATACAAGTAGAATGGAATGATTTTCATATAGAAATATGAAAATGATACATCTGACCATATTATTAGATATTTAAGTTTGATGCAGATTATTGATTGAATGATTTTAAATGAAGTCAACGAAATAGATAATAAATAATAAAAAATCTTGAGTGATATGATAAATTATTGGCAATCGCATGAAGTAAACTATAATGTGTGAAAACCAAACTGTTCGGAAAAGACTTTCACTTTGGAAAAACTAGTTTGAATTCAAATAAATTGCCTATAAGAACTGTATGGATAGTTTGTAGGACTGTAAGTAATACAATCCTACTACATTAGCAGAAGTACGGCGTGGATGTGAATACAGAGTATGGGTGTGGTTCTTCTTTTCATTAGTGTCCTGCACAAATGGAGTTTTTTCCAGCCGGACTCGAACCAGAACTCATCGACGTTCAGTAAATACTTTTACAGTCATAGTACAGCTTTCAATCTTTCACTTTACACGGAAAAGTATACTGCTTAGCTTCTTCGATAAAAAGCAACAAATACAATAGATAATCTTGAATTCCGCAAAAAACAAGTGAATCCAAGAATTCAGGATTCACCTGATGTCTTTCTGCTTCTAAAATCCGATCAATGTTGTTAATTATATGCTTAAATACTGCTGATGAAGCTGAAATAGAATGGAACGCGATGTTGGCGCCAAAGGTCATGCTTGTGAATACATACATGAATGATTTTTCCAACGCAAAAATGCATGTTCATTTTTTTGACAGTTTATTTTTCTTCCCATGTCTCTTCTTACTTCGTCATATTCTTTCTCATCATTTGCAGATGATGTTTCATTAAAAACGCATTATCTTAGTAAAACAATATCACTTTTCACTTCTGTGAACTGTTCTCAAGTACAAAAAATTGCTCGATCATGATCGAACCGATTTGAATTCCTATGCTTTTATATGTAAATAGCAGGCTGAAAAATGGAAAATATTTTGAAATGTCAAAATATGAGTAAGTGTCGGATCAAGTGTTGGATATGTTCACAAACCAGCACTCGGACCAGTTGCAAAACATTACTTTTCATTGACACACACACTCCATCTATACTCATCAATATTGCACATGAAATTTTATTGACAATGACAATAAACTAAGGAAAATGACAAGAGATCACAAAAGCAGACTTCTAAACATTTGAAATATCGCTATTGGAAAAACTAATGTTCGAATGTCTTTTAATCGTATATTAATTGATCGGATTTATATCAAAATGAATTAAAAGAATTTTCATATCTAGATTGTTGTTTCAACAACTTGAGGCATTAATGCTATAGCTGTTCTGTTTGTCGTCACTGTTAGTTTGATATTATTAGTAGTTGCAGTATTCCATGGAGTTATTTTTAGATGATTTTGTTGCCGACAACAAATCATAATAGGTTTTAATAATTTAATTAATTCTATTCTAAATGTACGTGATACTAATGTATTTGAATAAAATGACATTGCGATGAAATAGATAAGTAATTCAGTTAGTGTTTTCAAAAATGATTCAATAGCTTTACGATCTTTTGATTTGTTCGTATCATATTGTGTCATTGTGTTATAAATATTAAGTGACATAAAAGGTATTGTAGATATTATAAAGATCGCTACTTGTATTAATAACATAAATATTATTTGTTGGTCTCGTAATCTCTTTCGTCTATCGACTTCATTATTAGGAATTATTATTTGACGTCTTCTTCTTGATTGAAAATGTTGCCATATAAATAAACAACATATGAAAGCAATTAGAGATGGTAATGCACCACCCATTATAATCGTATAAAAACGATGATAAACAGCCACATCATTATTCGTTACTGTACATGCTATATTTCCTGGAGGTTGAATATTACTGTAAATAATCATATGAACTGGTAAAATCAACCAAATAACACTTATAATAATACTTATTGTACGAGCCATAGTTACAGAAGATAAATTACGAATACGAGCATAAGTTGAACATGAAAAACAACGATCTACGCAAGCCATAACTAAAAGCCAACGGCATGACATAGCACTTGTTTGATTTAAATAAGATCGAGCTTTGCAAAAACTTGAAATTGTAGTAAATGGATTCGGAGAATTATAGAGAGTGTAAATCTGTGGTATAATTCCTATTGAAAGTAATATCAATGCACTTATTGATGATGACAATAAATCTTTAATTGAAAAGACAAAAGAAAAAAAAAAAAAAAACTATCTATTATTATTGTATTATCATTGAATAACTCACAAATGCAACATGAATTTGTCCGTAATTGACGTCGTAGAAAAAGAATTACATTTATCAAAGAACCAATTGTACCTAGTACGAATATTGTCATATGACAATATTGAACTAACATTTTTTGGGCTATATCCAATGAAATAGTTAATGATGACATATTCACCTTTTTTCTTTAACTTTCAACAAGAGCTTTTTATTATTGTAGAGTTGAATTCGAGAGTGTTTTTAATAATATAATGTTTTCCACAAATGAATTATTTTTTAACGTAAAACGATTATCCATGTAAGGAAAAGAAAATGAACTTGAAACAAGTAAGTTAATTATTCTAGTATTCATTTCCAGATATGATTCTGATAGTGACGATGTTCTTAATTAATCTTAAATTACAGTGAGAGAAGAAAACATTATGAGTGAATATGAATATATGTGTTGTTATTTGATAAGAGTTAATGTATTTAGTTTTGAATTCGAAACGTTTCTTCTTTGAAGAGGATTAAAATTCTCAATATGAATTCTTTTCTACTAGAACCTTTTGACGTTTTCAATTATTGAATTTTTCTTTATTTTATTTGATAATATTTAATAAGTTCAATTAATTTTAATGTTGAATCTATGCCTATTACAGAAATGTTATGCTGTCAAACTTTGAATATTATAATTAAAAATGATATTCTTTTGCTTATTAAAGTGTCTTATAAATTATAATCATGTTAGATGATGAAGACAAACGTCTTATTTGTCAGTTTTTGATTATTTAACAAAAATTTATTATGATTTTACTCGAAAAATAGATGTTTTTAATAAAAAAAATCTGATTAAGAAATGACTTGATACTTTTTATGTAGTTAAATCAAGTAAAATTCATTTTCACAGTTAACATATGAAACAAACTCTATTAAATCTCATGTTATTCTAATTATTTAAATAAATCATAGTCAATATTGTTAATTAGATATTATTTTCTTCTTCATAGTTAACTAATATTGAAAATCTATCGAACAAACTTTGAAAAAGTTCTAAATAATTAATTATAAGATAAAATTTCAGTTAATTTCAATTGATATTCGAATGTAAAATATAACAAAAATTTATTATTGTTCTATTATATTTAATGAAGACGATGACATTAACTAAATATGTTAATAAATAATAAAAGATCTTTTATATTTCATTTGATTATATTTTAATAAACAAAGATTTTTATTTCTCAATAGATTTTGTTATTTATGATCATAAATCACAGCAATTGTCATACTAATGCTAAAATACTTGAGGATATAGAAAGAAAATTTCGAAATGATTATCTTTTAAGAAATTGAAATGGATATGGTTTAATAAAAAAGTTAATTTATTGAATATAGTATTTAAATAAGCAATCCATCATAGAATTTTTATTCTCAATAGATTTTTTTTGTTTAAAAAATACCGAGTAATATATTCTATTCAGAGACAAACACAAGAGAATTTTTTCTGTCATACTTCTGTAGTCGATCTCCGTCCTATTTGTCAGGACAAATATTATATCTTCTTTGAATTTTCATTAAAGAAAAATACATAGAAAACTTTCTAGTCATCTTTCAATCAATTTATTTCATGATTCTTGTCAAATTTCGCAAATCTAATTGAATGCTGAAGGAAAAAACGAAGATATTCGCAAAGATATTTTGAATTTAGTTCTTTCATATAATAAATTTTTTTTTTGTTGTTTTAAGGATATTTTAAATTCGTGTTGTGATAGAATAGATTCTGTTGATTATCTTTCTTTGAACATTTACTTTTATCTTTACCAGAATAAATAAATATTTGTAAACATTTAACAATATAACTCATAGAAAGATTCATTAATATTGATTAGTTTCATATAGTTTACCTGGATATAGAAATATCTACTGGTAACACAGTGCAATGTTAATGATTATTCGTTAATGATAATAATAGATTTTTTTATTATCTGACTGAAGTTAAAATTAGAACTTTTCTCAATTTCGAGTCACTTTACATGAATAAAATATTTCAATAAAATCTAAATGGAAATTTGTTTTAAATATTTTAGAAATGTGAAAATGAAAAAAGAATGACAAAGTAAAACACGAAATTAATCAAAGTATAAATTTAAAAAAAACCAATCGATGATTATTAATTATCTCTTTATATGTTTTATTATTTTCTATTTCGAATTTGACATTTGTATCGAACAATGTTTAAATTATCAATATTTTTCGTTTCAAACGTGACACCGGCAACTTATAGGAAGTATTAACTATTATCAATGACAATAACTATTACGCTGAAACTGTAAAGAAAATTTTATGTGAAAAAATAGAATTAACTTGTGTATCCTATTCTGCCGGCCAGTCTCGCATCAATTGTTCTGCTGAGCGATAGAACAGAACAGAGGACGACCACACCGTCTTTAATTGATTAAGTGAAGTAAACAATTTCTCATCAATTCGAGAGAATCTCTAAGCATTTTTTTTTAACTTAAAATTTCTGAGAAAATCAACACACTGGAAATAAATAAGCGTTATATATTGATGTCTGATAGTGGATTGAATGTATATTACTCATTCCTTATTTCTATACATAAATAACGTTAATTATGAAATATTTATTTCGTCAATAATTTTAAGAATACCTTCAATTATATAACATTATCCTCTAATGTGTCATTTTTTGTTTTACAGAATATTTAGTACTTGTATATACAACAATGAAATATTCCTAAATTAAATATTGAGAATTGTTATTTCGAATGTGTTAATTTACTTATTTTGATTTTAAAAAAATAATAAATTCCATATAAGACTAAATCTCAATATTGTTTGTAAATTAGATATTCGATGTATAATTGTGAATAGAAGATAGTTTTCTAATACTTTATATTCATTCTTTAACCCTTTCCGGCCGGATGTTGCCATTTGGCAACATTTAGTCAATATTTCTATGATAGCTTGCTTAGAGTAAAGATATAAAACTTTT